AAAAAAAAAACAAAGAAAATACTATCGTTCAGTTGTTATTTTTATTTCACATGCTTTGTGAAATATGTAGTAAAAAAAGCCCATGTTATTGCTGCCCAAGAAACAGTTTCTTCAAAGGAAGAACGGGCTCCAGTAAAAAAAAAACCTTAACAGAACGTGACGATAGATTGGCTTCTGGTGTTTTATCATCCAGATTTGTTTACTGATGACACTTGTTACATATATGCTGTCGCTCTTTTTTTTTCCTCTGTACAGATTTTTAGGGCTGTTGGGAAGAAGGGGAAACTGTTAGGGTTTTAGTTTGCTTGTAGCAATGCGGTTTTCAAACATCCGCTTAGCACCCACGTTGTCAAAGGCAACCCGCCTTCAACTTGGGAATATCAAAACTGAATATGGTTACGTATCGACAGCAGCAGGCTCTCAGGAAAAGTGGGGGTTCATCTTCAAGGTGCGAAGATATCCACTGATCAGCTGTGGTTATACTATATCACTGGTGTGTATTGCTATTGGTGTGGTTGGAACGTACCAACAGTACCGCGATATGGTTATTATGACAGAACATATTTCATATGAGGATATCAAGGATCGTTGTCTTACCCCAATTCCGGGATGGGCGCGCATACGAAATGTACAGATAGCTAGCCCTCTTGGGCCAATGACATACCGTGATCCTACTCCGCTCGATTGGCTTCCGTTTGAGCTGAAGCTTGGCTACGTAAAACAGGCTTCATACTAGTCTTGTAGAAGTTTAGCGACTTCTTTGGGATAGGGAGGGCGCTCTGGGGTTGAATAATTCGGGGAAGAAGTGGCAGGTGAAGCTGTGGGCTTTATTTGAATTGCTGTAGAAGATAGTTTTTCCTTCTTTAGTAAGGAGACCTTTTTTTTTCTCTCGCCTAACTTTAGCAATTGATTGTGACGAAAGAAATGAGGTTTCTGTAGAATCATTCTCCCTTACTTTTTTTCCCGTTTGCTTGTTATTATACATATATAATTGAGGGGTGATTCGTTTAGTAAAGGCCAAACATGTCCGAAAAGCGAAGTAAGAGCGAATGTGTCATCCAGTTCCGTTCGGGGAAGATGATTCTTCAAAATGGCATGGTTGCGCCAGACACACGGATGGGATTTTTGTCTTTCTTCAAGGAGTCCAATGGTGAGGTGAGAATGACATGGATGTCGGGACGTGACGAAGAAGAGTACAAGCTTCCTAGTGGACAAGTGAAATTCAGCAGGGTTGAGAAGTGTACCACTGGAAGGGTACTCCTGTTTGAGTTTACCAATGATAAACCTCCTCTGTTCTTTTGGATTCAGGAGAAATCAACAGAAAATGATGCGGAGTATATATCTACAATACAGAGCTTGATTGCACAGGCGCGTCCACTTACTGAAAGTTCAAGAACTGATATTGGGGTTGTCTTTCGGGACATACTTCGTAGCATGCAATCTGGAAAGAAGAAAGATATAAACTTGGTAGATATATTTGGATCAACAACGCTTCTTTCCGCGCTTCAAGAGGACCCGGCTTTCTACATGTGTAAATTGCATCCGTTCCTACCTGAGGGTACCGATCCAACAGGGGATATAGTGGAACAGGTTAAGAACCCCCAAGTTGCAGCTGCTGCAGCCTCTTTGGGTTCGGCTCTACGAGATCCAGACGCATTCCGTCAATTGTGCTTATCCTTCGGAATTGATGCGAAAACCCCTGGCGTGATGGGGTTCCTTGAAGGATTGATGAAGCAGTATGGGAAGTGAGTAACTTTGTATCGGCGTCAAACTGAGGCCTTCTGCGTAGATGTTTTTTTTGTTTATAAGCTCTTGCCGATTTCGGTGTAATGAGAAACATGGTGAGAATGACTTGCAAATGAGGGTGCTCTCTTTTTTCCTTTTTTTGTTTTTGTTTGATTTTTATTCCAAGTAGTATAGTCTTCTTGGGGATGCGTCTAACAGCTCCCTTTCGTATGGGTGTGCAGCCCGATTCTCATCGGTACGCACAAGCGACATTTCACGATGGAACCCATCGGCAGGCTCCAGGTGATTCGACTCCTTGGAGAGACGCCGCTACTCCTCTGAACCGTATCAAGGGATGGTGGCTTGCGCCCGCAGCGAAAGGGAGTATGATTGCTGCTTGGTGTATAACGATAGTTCTTGGGACGTACTGCTTTTCAATACAACAGGATGCCAAGGGAACCTATTTGCTCAACAATGTTTTGCTGCGCACTTTGCATGAGGAGGCGTTACGGGCCGATGCAAATCAGGAACGCGCCGCGGAATTACAAGAGTTTATGAAGAAGCGCCAGGAGGATCAGGAAAAAGTGAATAAAAGCAACATGAACGTTGTCAAAAAGTATGAAGAATTTAGTGAAAGGTTGAAGAATGGGTTGGTGAACTACGAATTGGAACTCTCTCGAGAGCGCGCGAGAGCTGATGCTGTACATGACCGCAATCAGGAATTGGTTAGTGAGCTTCTCAAGGTCCGCCAAGAACTGGTTCAAGTAAGGAAAGAAAATAAAACTTTAGCGATTCAACTTGAAAAGATGCAAAAAATATCGAGGAATCTGGCGTGAAAAAATTTTGTTTTTACTATTGCTCCAGTAATTCGCTCACGACGACCCTTTACATAATTCTTTTTTTTTTTTGTTCTCTCTCTCTCTCTCTATATATATATATATATATATATCTGCATGTGTTTCTTTTCCCACTTTGTTCTCAATTGTTTGAAGGCTTTTTCGGTAGTCTTTGTTTCTTGTTTTACCGAATACTTTTCTATCTGCTGATCAGAAAATGCCGGTATCATGTGGGGACAGGGCAACAAGAAAATGTCCGCGAAAGGCAGCAACGCCAACATCTGCTCAAAAGTTCTTTGAGAAAACCACTGCGCAGGACACGTACAAATGGCCGAAGTTAACGAAGAATTATTTTGGGACGGTTGTTAACCTCAATACACAGCCGAGTCAAGTGGAGTGCCTTTTACACCCGAATAAGGTTGGAGAGAAGGCTTCGACAACATATGAGCAGGGCTTTGTGAGACACAAGGTTCAGCCCCGTTCACAAACGGCTCCGGCATCGCAGTTAGAAAGGCATGTAGAGGGTCGTACTGAGAAAAGCACAACTACTTATGAAGATATGCACTCCCTAGTAACGAGGGCTATTCGTCGTCATGAAGTGGAGCGTGTACCTCTTATGAGACCTGTCGAACCCAAGTGGAGAGTTTCAGTTTTTGAGGGCATTTCAGAATATAAGGAGTCGTTTCCAAAACTAAAGATTGTGACGGATCCAGTTTCGCCAAGACGTGCATGTGTACACACATTTCCATTTAGAGGGACATCTACTATGAAAAAAGATTATACTTTTAAGCGACCGATTCCTTGCACACCCATCCCCAAGACAAAAGCGAGGTTAATGCCTGAGACTCGTGACTTCCGTACGACATACCGTTCCTCACACAGGAAACCACCATACCCCGAATTATCTCCGTTTGCAGTTTGCATTAGACCGTGGGCATTCAAACGCAATTGAGTCTTTCCCCGGCAAAGAAGTGAGTTTTATTGGCTGTCATCAAGATGTACATTAACATTTCCTATAAAATGTGCCAAAGTCCTTGCGCTTTTTTTCCTTTGTGTATGATTTTTCATTTTTTTTTTTTGAAGAAGTCAGAGCATTCGGAAGTTTTTTTTAGAGTTTTGGTATGATATTTGCTCTTTGCAGGGATGTGATGGAAGGCTATTGTGGCGGCTGAATAAACCGCTTTCTTTTTTTATTCATTGGTTTTGAATTCTGTTTTTAGTCACCAAAAGGTGAGGAGGGGAGCGTGGGGAATGATTCAAACCCTTGGCTCATGGGATGAGGGGATCCATGCCTTTTTAGAGAACGCACGCCAAAGTGGTCCCCAACCTTGGGACATGAGCTATGAGGATGGGCGACGAATGACACGGGATCCACGAGTTTTGCGCCAGTTGCAGCTTGAAGATGAATGGAAGGACACCTGTATGGAGGGAATTTGGGCCGGAATGCGTCGCATTGCACGTCCTGTGGAAAATTTCAAAGTATCAGAGTCCCGGTTCTATGAATATTTGTCTTCAATAGGCATTTCTAGCGAGCATCTTAAATGCAGACTCTTCGAGGTGTTTCGTTCAGATACATGCGCTGAAGTTGACTGCCTCCGTACCTGCAAAGCGATTCATATGGGCTTAACGAATGAGTGCACATCGTCCAATTTTCTTGAGCATTGCTATAAGTGCCTTCCTTTTAGTCTTTCTTCAGGTGAGGTAGAAATTCCTGCTGTGATGCGGGAATTAGAGCTGCAACGTCGCGTAAAGGATCAAAAGACATCAGTAATTTTGAGAGTGCAACAGTTAGAGGGTGTTTTGAGTTTTTGCGAGGAAGCAGAAGAAACTATTTTAAGCATGGAAAATTTTATGATTCTGTTCTTTGATGAGGCGTGGTGCTTGTGGGCGAGTAGCTTCGTGAAACAAATATTCGAAGCAGCAGCGAAATATTTCAGAAGTCCCTATGGCGTCTTTCCCACAATTCCTCTGCGGTGGACACTTACGACGGAGCCCTTGCCGTACGACCGACATACCATTTACGATGCAAATTCACTTCTTCTACGGAATATTGAATTAACAGGAAGGGAGAACGCCGATGGAAGCCAAAAAAAGAGGAGACCTCGCAAGGGTGCAGTGTCAAAGAAGAGGAAGCGGATGTAAACTATGATGTGCTTGCAGAGCATATTGGGCCCTCTTCACACCAAGAGATAGCCTTCTGTACAGACGTAATTAATACTAAAAGTATTTATTCTGCAATTGTTTGTTTTTGAATTTGTTTGCCCATAATTTTTTTTTACGTTTGTTGCGACAGTTAGTCAAAATGCAAGATTATCGTTCAGATATTCAGGTCTTGGCACGAGCCCACCAGTACCGGCTTCATCCCTTTGCACTGAAAGGCTTGTCAGATTATCTTTCTAGTCTTGGGGGCGACGGTGAAAAGCGACGAGATGTGCTCCGTGAGCTCTTTGCGTACCTTCACAAGTTATGTGCCACAGACCGTTTTGTTGATGAAGAAAAGATGCGATCGGCTATAGCACAGCAGTCGGTCAGGGAACGAGGAGCTACAGAAAGGGAGGGTGCTCTTTCCACTGTTTCTGTGGCGCTGAAAGATATACCCCACGTTTACATGGATGAACGTACAGGTGAGATGAAAGTGCAGCCTGTAGCGCACGATGGCAGCCGTTTTACGGTGTTGCGTCAACGGTATCTCTTTGCTCGGCGGAGATGCCAACGAAGTGGTTTGTTCCGGCGCGACATGAGCAAGCAATCGCTCGATCGTGATCTCCCACCACTACTTCCAAGCATTGCGCTTGAGGGAATCCAGCCGTCAGAACACGTAGCAGTGCTTGGAATGATTATTAAGCGCCTTAATGAGACGTATCTGGAGGATTTGCATGGACAATTGAAACTAAACTTTCGGGCGGATATGCGTCCTCCCGTGGGGATGCTGGGGGATGGCTTTTTAGTTGTTGTGAGAGGGCAGTGGTCCAATGGTGTTCTTGTTGCCGCCAACATTGATCTTCCTCCCGCTGAGAGACGTGAGGACACGCTACGGGATATGGGTGCGGATTACGATCTTTTCGGTCACAGACCTTCGGACGTCGTGGCGGCTCTCACCCAGGAAAAACAATCACTTCGGTCTGTGATTATTGTGATGTCGCACATTCACCTGGACCAGCAGGTGACAATGAACAGACTGATCAGTTTCTTCAAGGAGATGCAAAAACGGACGGAGGCCGAGCTAATGGATACGACTTTGGTTATGGTGGGGGATTTTTGTTCGGCGGCTATTCATTATGACGACGTCTCTCACCTCCCTGAACCATTTGAAGGCTCTAACCACTATAAAATCCTTATGGATGGCCTTGCAACGGTGATCACAACACATGCGCCTAGTGTTGCTCAACACACGCAGGTTGTCCTTGTGCCTGGCCCAAATGACATCACAGGCCTTCTTGGTGTTTTGCCCCAGCCTCCTATTGTGAGTATTTTTGGGAAAACATTACAAGCCCGTTTGAAGAAGGTTGTTTTTGCTCCTAATCCGTGCCGTTTGCGTTTTTTTACGCATGAAATTGTAGTGGCTCGCCGCGACTTTTTCCGATTGCTGCGAGAGAGCGGTCGTGTGTTTGACTGGCCCAGTGCGAGTGGTCCTGCGTCTATCAACTCTTTTGAGAGTGTTGCAAAAACCGTTTTGGATGAGGCCCACTTGGCACCAGAGGTGAGGGAGAACGTTCTGTGGAAGGCAGATGAGGCCCTTCGCTTGACAGCGCTTCCGCACCTGCTCGTCCTATGCGACAGCACAGAGCAGTGGGAGTGCACGTACAAGGGAGTACACGTCGTTAACCCAGGTTCCTTTTCTCTCGCTGCAACATTTCTGTGGTACACGCCTGCGGACGGTGAATGCAGCCTCAGCAGAGTAGAGCAGTAACGGGGGTATGTGCCCATAGAGAGGGAAGCAGAGGGAGGGGAAAGAGTGAGTGAGTGAGTGAAGATGAGTCACACATGGAAGACATTGAGTAAAGAAGAAACAAAACAAAAAAAAAACAAAGAATTACGTTGTGGTTGTTTCTCTTTGTGTCGGCGTGTTTGTGTGTGTGTGTGTGTGTTGTCGACCACATCATCCTTGCCTGACATACGAAAGATGAGCTTCGTTTTATTTTGCTTTATTTTCCACTTGGAAAGGCGGCCGTGCTAGAAATGAAACGTGCGCGCGAGGTGTATGGTGAGGAGGGGGAGCAGCGATGCGAGAAGATCGTGGAATTCATTCGGTCCCTGCGGTTTTCTGTTCCACTCTGCCGTCTGCGGGAGCAACAGGGGCGTAACCCCTGTCCTGGGTGTGGCAAGCGGCGGCAGTACTATTGTTACGACTGCCTGACAGTTGTGCATCCGGCGAGCCACCCCCCGCCGCTGCCGCTGCCGCTGAACGTTTACGTCATCCTGCACCCCGGCGAGCTGCGCGGCAAGAGCACGAGCCTCGCCGCCTCCACCATTTCCCCCGACCTGCACATAGTGGACTATCCGCAGGTACCAGCCGGCCTGGACCCCGAGTCCACACTCGTGCTGTACCCGAGCAGCGAGAGCACCGAATTGGGTGACATCTCGGATTTGGATTCCTTCAAGAATGTCATCTTCATTGATAGCACATGGCAGCAGAGCAAAGCAATTGCACGTGACGAGCGTGTGCATAAGTTTAGGCATGTGCGAATCAAGTCACAGACGTCATTGTTCTGGAGATTTCAAAACAACGACCCCACATACTTGGCGACAGTAGAGGCTATCTACTATTTTCTGCGGGAGTTCATTACACACAGGAATGCACAACGCAGAGGGGTGACGCCGCCTTTCTACAATGGGGAGGTGGACGACCTGCTCTTCTACTACATCAATCAATACATTTCGGTGCAGCAGCGCTACACTCACGATAACACGAAACAGTACACAACGCGGCACTTTGATGGTTATATCCTCAAAAGTTCGTTGTGGGACGAGTTGGTGGCGCCACAGGCAGATGCCGCAGCAAAGCCAACAGCTGGCAAAACCACACAGCAAGTAATACCCGAGTAATACGAGAACGGCCTCCACCTCCGTGGCCTGTCACATTCTCATCTTTTTGTATTATTCTCGGTTTTTCTGTTTCTATCCCCTTTCGTCTGCGATGTGTTACACATATAAACACGCACTCATGCAGAAGAACAGCCATTTTTTCTCCTTCTCACTCTCCATTTTTTGCTCTTTCTTGTTTTCATTTTTTGTTTTATGCGTATTCACCTCGTTGCAGTGGTGTTCGATGGCGCCGAAGAAAAAGGCAGCCGCGGTTGGGCCGAAAGGCAAAAAAAAGGTGGCCGCCTCGCCAGCCACTGGCGTGCCCGCACCGCCGCCCCCGCCGGAGGGGCGTGAGTTGTGGCTCGCTACAGATGCTCTGCAGAAGACAAAGGCGATGCGCAACTACTTCCAACTGGAGCGTGACCGAATTATTAACTTCTGGGAGGTGTCCAAGAAACAACTGGAGGAGTTGAAGGCACTTCTGCGACAACGTGAGCATGAAAAGGAGGAGAACCAAGAACGTCACGAAGTAGAGAAAAAAGTCTTCAAACAGAAGATACGACACATGTTGTATGAGCACCAGCTTCAACTTGCGGAGATGAGCAGTGAGGCGGAGCGAACACTTGCGATACGGGAGGAGGAGTACCGCCAAAAGGAGCGGGATGCGGGAAGAGAAATCCATGATGCTAAGCTGATACTGCGGGAACAGGAGAATCAGCAACGGGAGATGACTTCCGCCCTCACAGCTTCACAAGACAAGGTGATTGCGGAGCAGCAACAGTCCTTTGAGCGCAAAATGAAGGAGATGCATCTCATGTATGAAAAGAAGACAAAGGATCTGAGGGAGGAGATGGACCAGCGGCGTCGTGAGGAAATCGGTCTCATTGAAAAGCGCAAAGAAGACCACATTGCCGAACTTCGGGAAATGCACGAGCGCACGTTTAGGGAGATGAAGGAGTACTACAGTGAAATCACTTCGAATAACTTAGAAACAATCCGAACCTTGAAGGACGAGGTTTACGCTCGGAAACGTACCGAAGCACACAATGAGCGAGCAATGATGGATGTTGCACAACGAAACAGGAAACTTACGGAGCCTTTAGCCAAACTTCAGCGTCAAAAGCGAGAGTTGGAGCAGGAACTCGTCAACTACGGAAGCGACAAGGAAAAACTGCGAGCTATGAAGGCAGAGGTGCGGGAAGACGAACAAGAGTTACGCACACTTTCCTGGGAACACGAGGTACTTTCGCAGCGATTTGTGAAGTTAGAAGAAGACCGTGATATCATCCTCAACAAGTATAACAACATGTTACAGGAGATACAAAAGAAGGCCACATTCCGCCGCGTTCTTATCCAAAGTAAACTGGAGCTGGTGCAGTCGCAGTTAGAAGGACGCGACGCTCGTCTAACGGAACTGCTGAAGCGAGCCAACATCGACCCCGAGGGCATAAGCGAGATTGAGCATAGAGTGCACGATCTTTCCTTGGAGAAGGATGCCGTGATCGGCAACCTTCAGCACCTCATTGCCCAGTTGGCGGAGAGGCAGCAGGCAGTAGTCTCCACATACGAGGCTTACTTGAGAGGGAATGGCATGTCCGCACTGGGCGGGACCGTGCAGGTTCAGTGATGTAAAGATGCTCTGTGACCTTTTCATGTATGACCCTTTTTTTCGTCGTGCCCTTCCCCTCCCCCATTTGTTTCTTCTGCCAAGACGAAGGCTGACATGGGAAGTCGCACCGGATCCCGACTTCTTTCTTTTTCCCTATCTCAGACCAAGCGTGCTTTCTTGTTGTTCTTTTTTTTCTCTTTCTCTCCTTTTCTCTCACTGTTATGCTCTCTGTCTCGCTCTCACATTTTGTTTTCTGCCTTGGTTTCTCAACTCTTCAGAACCAGTGGAGGAAAAACATGCCGGTATACAACGCAGTGGCGAAGAAGAAACAAGCTGCCCCTACACAGCCAGATGGCACACCCAAGGCGTCAGAGGTGGAGCAGCAGGAACAAAAGCGTGACGCGGGCCAAAGGAACAAGGAGGTAGCCACTGACAAAAAGCGGGGGGAAAACGGCGACAGCGAGAAGCCCACAACAGTGGAGTTCAGTGAGCCGGCGCAGTGGGTGGAGCGGATGGCGCTGACGTCTACGCGGCCCCTTCCCGCTGACCTCCACGTCGACGACGATCCGAAGCGGGAGGAGGCGTTCATCCAACAGGCGCTGCTCTCTGTGACGCGTGGCATCTCCTTGCTGGAGGAAGCTAATGTGCCGTGGCGGCGCCCCGCCGACTATTACGCAGAGATGTACAAGGATGACGTGCAGATGAGCCGTATCGCCACGGCGATGGAGAAGTCAAAGGCACGCATCGAGGAGCGCGCCCACCGACGTGCGATGAAGGATCAGAAGAAGTACGGCAAGGAGGTGCAGGCAGAGGTGCTTCGGCAGCGAGCCAAGTACAAGAGAGATATGGGCGAGCGCATCACCGAGTGGCGGCGCAAGCGGAAGGGCAACGAAGAGCTGCGCGACATCCTCGACGATGCCGAGGGAAATGAAACCGCCTCCCGCAAAGAACGAACGCTGCGGCCGAAAAGTCTCCGCCCCGGCGGCGGCGGCGGCGCCGGAAAAGGCGTCAAGCGGCGCCCCGGAAAAAATGCGCGCCGCAGGAAGTAGGAGAGCCTTACCCTTGGNCTCGACGATGCCGAGGGAAATGAAACCGCCTCCCGCAAAGAACGAACGCTGCGGCCGAAAAGTCTCCGCCCCGGCGGCGGCGGCGGCGGCGGCGGCGCCGGAAAAGGCGTCAAGCGGCGCCCCGGAAAAAATGCGCGCCGCAGGAAGTAGGAGAGCCTTACCCTTGGTTCTGCCACTAAGACCCCGATTAAGAGTCATACCGTAGTTGTGCGGTTGCGGCGGTGCGGCCGTGGCGGTGGTAAAGACAGACCCTGTGTGTTTCGCTGCTGCCTTTAGGCGTGTCATGAGATGTGCGTACTTCTCCCTTTTTTTTCTCCTTCTTTGCGGGGTGGGGGCTTCCTCTGCCTCTTTACACTGCAGGTTCCACAAACACAAGGATCAAATAAAAAAAAAAAACAAAAAAGAAAACACGCAAAAAAGAAAAAAAAAGCACCACTGAATGTCGTCTCGATGGCTGCCAGACTATGTGCTATGCCGCAGCAAAGATGCTACAAGCTACAGTTCCACTCGCGGAAGGCTATCAAATCCGTTTGACTTGGTCACTGAGGATGCGTCAATCGCGTCTATCCAGCGGAAAAGCCGTCACCTCTCAGAGGTGGTTGCTGTCTGCAAAAACATACCCAAGAAGTTCCGTGGTTTCGTGGAGAATGTGGGTTCAGAGTTTGTTTTAAAGTCATCATTGACTCAGCTTGGTGTCAACGCTGAGGACACCCAGATCATTCTTGACAAGGATATTTTTCGGGCTGAAATCCGCTTGAAGCTGGTGGCTCTGTCACCCCTTGCAGTGCTGATGCTGGATTATATTGGTGAGGGGGCTTATATTGGAAAGCTCTTTGCAAGGGAAGAGGTCCGCAAAGTGCGGGACATGAGTTACATAAACCGTCTGTTGCACATGCATGATCAGGGAGGTGAGCAGCTTCTCACCTACGGCGATTCTCTGGAGCCAAATTGGGAATTGAAAATCGTGGAGGGCCGCGTGATTGCATTCTTACCTGTTCTGGAGGGTACCTACACGTACAATGGTGAGATACATGGTCTCCTTCCAACGATTGGCGCGGCTCTTAAAAACCGTACCAAGTATAAGGATATCCTCCGCCTTCACCAAGACTTCAATGAGAAACACACACGTATTGCGCCACCCAACGGGGTTCTAATGGTGCGTGGCTACGCAATGCACCTGCGGACAATGTTTGGGCGTGTTGTGGACGAGCTACTTCCTCCGGGTCTTAAGTCTATGAGTTCCCGCGTTATTGAACCTGATTCTGGTTTAACCCAGAAGCTAAAGAAGCGCACTTTTGTCTTCTTTGGGGAGTCTTCTGAAGAACTTACGCACGTCCCAATTGAATTTTTCACGTTGGAAGCTTACCGTGAAAATCTGCCCTTTTTACTTCGTAAAACGCTTTCGCAGCGATGCGTGTGCAAGGCTGATGTACTCCGAGTTTTTAAAACGGCGCCAAAGGGTAATATGTGTTGCTGCACATACGTCAGCAAAGGCGGCCAATTCAACGAACTGACGCCGGATGACTGGGTCACGGCAGACCCAAAGTTGCTACCCTATGTGGGATATGATAATCCTGAGCAGCAGCAGAAACTAGCAGAACAAGCCGTGTACCAGGAATGTGAATACAGCATTCTCTCGGCTATTGCAGCTGGCGATATTACAAGTGACGGCGTTTTGCTAACTCGATTTTTTCCATCCCCGTGTTTGAAGTCGTTGATTCTATCTTGTGCTGTTGGGAGGAAGGTCCGCGCTGTCTTTTTCACACAGGCTTCGCGGCATCACAAGGAGTTCTTCAGTCAAGATGACAGTGGCCTTCTGTGCGATATGAACACATTTGGTATTGCGGCTTTCTACGTTGATGAAGCTCGTGGAGATATTTTCCAGTTTATCCGACGTCATGACCGTGACGCTGGGGTGTTTGTGCCTATTGAGCGGAGGCAGGAGTACGTCCTCGCCACATTCTTTGGCGTGTATGGCTCCAACCTTATCGAGGGAGATTTCGAAGCAGAACTGATACTTCTACTGAATGGTATATTGCAGCTGAAGCGGACGTGCAATCATCCGTTGCTGAACCCAAAGAAGACACTGGCCCTTGTTACCGGTGGAGGTCCTGGTGCGATGGAAGTGGGCAATCGGGTTGCCAAGTCACTCGGCATATTGTCGTGCGGTTTGTTTGTCGACTTTGGCACACTCGCGCAAAAGCCCGGTTCAACCCTCAATGAACAGACAAAGAACCCATACGTTGAAGCATTCATGACGTACCGCTCGAACAAACTGGTGGAGCGTCAGTCGGACTTCAACCTCGATCTCCCTATTTTCCTGACGGGAGGCATTGGCACTGATTTCGAGTACGCGCTGGAGGAGGTGCGCCGAAAGGTGGGTGCTGTGCCACCGAACCCCATTATCCTCTTTGGCAGCATATCGCACTACACGGGCAAAATCACAGGACGCTACCAGGAGAATCTTCGAAATGGAACCATCAAGGGATCAGAATGGATTTGTACCATCCCTTGGCTCGTATCATCAGGGCGAGAGGCTCTGGAAGTATACAGGCGGTTCTTTAATGGACAACTTCCGGTTGGCCCAGGATATCCTCTTAACGATCGGGGGTTCGTTATTGCGTCGGAATATCTGGCGAATCACCCCATGTAGGCAGCATGTGTAAAAGGAATGAGATGCTAATTGTATACACTATGTATGCGTGTCTTATGATTACAGCTGTAGTTTCCGTAGCCGGGCAAAATGAGGAAGTCAAGCCAACGTTTTTCTATTTTGTTTTTGCTTTTTGGCGAACGCCCATGTGACATATGAATAAAACATATATGGGGATTTTCCCCAATTCTTATTCATCTTGCTCATCATGTTGATCATTATCGTTTCTTTATTTCTTATTGTGTCGTTGGTGTGGTTGATAGTTGCTATTTTGAAAATTGTGCCTAATTAACAGTTCCACGCAAGGATGTGGCACCTTCGCGGGTGGCTTCTCATGTGCCTTCTCTCAGCTGCCCTCTTCATCATTGTCGACATTCCAGCAGCGTACCAAAGGGATGTACGCAGTCGACATATATTTATTGCCGTGATGCTACCTGTAACGTGGGGGATCTATTCGGTGGTGTTGTACATCTGCCTCTATCGACCAATGCGTCGCATGACCGAAATGTACCGCAACGATGTTGCCTGCGACGAGAATACATCTGGGGGTAGCGTCTTCCTCTGGTCCAAGGAGCAACACCTGCTCAACGCCACTATTGAGCACCTGCGGCGTGACACCGAAAAAACGGAGAAGATGGCGGTGTATTGGCAACCAAGAAAAATAGGCAACGGCCAACTGGGATGTACTCTGCTGTCTCACGGTGCAGTGTCCACTTCGATTAGCAGCCCAGAGCCTGTTGCACCGTATGACTCTCTGTGAGGCAGTGCCGTCTTGCTCTGTGTACCACGGCCTCTCTCTTGTAATCTCCTTATGACTTATTGGCGTGTATATGCATATATAAAAGACTATGTGTTTATTAACCTCAGTGCATGCATGCATGAGAGCATTTATGTGAGTTTCTGTGCGTATGGAGTTTTTTCCCTTTGTGAAATTGTTTCTCTTTTTAAAAAATGGATAAGAGAAGAAGAAAGGGAATATATATAAAAAGAAAAAAAAGATCGACAAAGTGAAGGAATGCGTCGTAAGTTGACAACGTTTCTTTTAGCCATTGTGGCGACACTGTGGATCTGCGCGCTTCATACCGACGCCTTCGCGTTCGATTTGCCAGCTAACAAACACCGCTGCTTTTCAGAGGAGGTCCCAAGCAGCACAGAGCTGCGCATCTCGTACGCGGCACTGCCTGGGTACGCGCAGTTCGTGGATGTCGTGATTTCTGGCCCACAGGGGAATGTATTCTACACCGCCAATGCACAAGACCGTGGCAACTTTCATGAGTACATAAGTGAGGGCGGTGACTTCACTGTATGCTTCCACTCACGTCTGGCACAGGGTGCCAAGTTTGTTGAGGGAATGAAACGCAGCATTAGCGTGGATATAAAAATAGGGAGTGAAAAGAATGACTATGCTGAGCTGGCAACGAAGGAGAAGCTGCGACCTATCGAAGTTGAGCTGCGTGTGCTAGAGGACGCGGTGCACTCTATCCACCTGGAATACCTATATTACAAGGACAAGGAAGCAGAGATGCGCAACACAAATGAGGTCATGACGTCAAAGGTAATGTGGTTTACAGGCCTCCTCATCACCGTCTTTGTTCTCTTCTCAGCATGGGAGCTGCGGCACCTGAAGGCGTACTTTAAGAAGAAGCGGCTCATTGACTGAGGGATGATAGTGGGACACTGTGCGCCATGAGTGAGGAGAGAAGGGGGGTGGGGGGCGCAGGTGAATGAGGGTGCAGACAACTTGTGTTTTACTACTTTGTTACCTTGCGTTTACTCCTCCTCTTCCTCTTCCTTCTCCTCTCCCTTTCTCCTATGAAAACCGAGACTGGAAAACCTAATTGCTGTGTGCGAGGAGCTTCCCTGCGCTGTGCTGCATTCTCTCATCCCTGCCCCCTCTCCCCCTTTTTTTTATGCCTGGCTTCATGCTCCCCAGCTTCCCCTTTGCCCCCTCTTGGTGTTTCTTGAGCGAAGGATGCACATAGGATGAGGCCCACCGCAATGCCCTCAGCGCCGTATGCCCCCACGAGGAGGATTCATGCAGGTGGTGGGGGAGGCATGTGTAGTGAGCCGGACGCTCTGTCTAGTTGGCTTTATCCATCCCCTGTTTTTTTTTATCCGTTTTTCGAATTATCCTACAACCAGGGCGCTGCAGCCAGACACATACACATACACATACGTACGTAGCACCCTGGTAAAAACAACAACAACAAAAAAAACAAAGTCGGCGTGTCAAATGGCCACTGTCTTGGGAGCAGAGGCCACCGAGCAGCTCTCCGCAATTCGCCGTGTCGCGAGCGCACTGAGGAATGCGTCGCTTTCCTCATGTGCGTCTTTCCACGCCGATGAAGGTGTGCTTACGGTCTCTGAAAATCCTGGAGAAAGCACAGCCGCTGTCTTGCGAGATGTCGGGCACACACTTGCCACCGCTGCAGATGCGTTTGTCAGCGCTGTTGAGCTTCAGTTGGCTGAGTTCTTCAACCATATGCGAGACACGGAGTCAACATCCGCCGTGGAGCTCCTCAAAAAACGCACGCTCGTGCCAGCAGGTTTCACAGTGGTGACCCAGACGGAAAAGACGGCGGATTTCACGACCCCCACGTCACGGCACAACACGATCGCTGGACGCTGCGCCAGCAAGGTGCCACAAAACGCACCTTTAGCGCTGCGCCGTTACGATCGGCAGGCGGCGGCCACCGCGCTGCAAACATGTCTGTTCGTGATGATTGAGTCAGTGCTCACACGTGTCAATGCCACCCGCGCGGCGGTGTACATTAACGACACTGCTGAGGACCCTCACGTGCTGTGCCGCGTAGCGCATATCCACGGAGAGGAGAAGCTTCCCCCCGAAGTCAGCTACGCCAACACCAGTACGCTCGTCACGGTTGTGCGGGATGGACTGGCAGTTAACTTCGACACCACCCATGCATCTCGACAATCACATACCGACAGGGCAGAAACACCTAGGCGACCTTTTGAGGGACATGCGCGGTACCCTCTGCATGTGCGTAGCGGTGTGGTAGTGCCTATAAGCAATTATGGCTGTATTCTGGTAGCTGACAAGCCTCTTGAGGCGCCACAGTTCTTCACACCCTTCGATGAACACCAGGTGTGGGCCATCGCGACGCTGTGCGAAGGCCTGTTTGCACGCTACCCACAGGATCTTTTTCTTGAGATGCAGTGGAACCCGGCGCAGGGGGTACTGCGCCAGTGCTCGCTCCTGCCGCACATAAAAGTGACGCAACAATACACCGCGTTTTCGGCGCCGTGCCCCGAAGACGACTCAGAGCCTACTCTTGACGCCCTCAAATCTGTGCCGAGAAAGCTGACAATCATGCGGGCAACTGGAGATAAAATAAGTGTTATTACTGACGCAAGTCGAATGCCACACAAACACTTGACATACGATGGCCTCTTTCAGGAGGCTGGTGGATACATTAAGAACATTGAGTTGCTATGGCAGAAATCGCTAAGTGAAATAAACACGCTTCAGCTTACGATCACTGAGCAAGCCCGCGAACTCAACGCGAAAAAGTCGCGCATTGCCGCCCTCGAGTCAGAGATGCGTCGCCTTCATACACGCCCTTCCACCACTGTGAGCAGATGAATAAGGCGCACTGGAAACCACTCGATGTATACTTCTTGGAACAGTTATAATTCTCTTCTTTCAAAGGCGCCTCATCACATCCAGCCTTCCAGCGCGTCGTTTTGTCACTCCACATGATCGTGATCTTTTTTTTCTATTGTTCTCTGTGCCTTTTAATATACACAAGGACATCCTCAACAGCATGCCATTCGTGAAGGTTGTGAAGAACAAGGCGTACTTCAAACGCTTCCAGGTGAAGTACCGCCGCCGCCGCGAGGGCAAGACGNCAGTCTGCTGCTGCTGCCGCCGCTCTGCGTCCCTCGTCCTTTCTGTTTTTGCCTCTCACTTGTGTCTCTTGTTGACAGGCACACATATGCAATTCCGCTCTGTACCTCTTTCTCTCTCTGTACGTGTGTGTGTGTGTGTGTGTATTTATGAATATTTGTGCTGCAAGCCCCCAAGTAAGAATGCCATTCGTGAAGGTTGTGAAGAACAAGGCGTACTTCAAACGCTTCCAGGTGAAGTACCGCCGCCGCCGCGAGGGCAAGACGGACTACCACGCGCGGCGCCAGATGGTGCTGCAGGACAAGACCAAGTTCGGCTCGCCCAAGTACCGCCTGGTGGTGCGCATCACGAACCGCGACGTCATTGCACAGATTGTGCACGCCAAGGTTGTGGGCGATGAGGTCGTCATGGCGGCCTACTCGCACGAGCTGCCACTGTTCGGCATTGAACACGGTCTGACGAACTACGCCGCGGCGTATGCGACGGGGCTGCTGTTGGCGCGGCGCATGCTGTCGAAGCTCGGGCTCGCGGACAAGTTCGAGGGTGCGAAGGATGCGGACGGCGCGTACGCGGCCGCGCGCACCAAGAAGGACGACCAGGGTGACGACGGGAGCCGCTTCCCCTTCAAGGCGATCCTTGACGTCGGCCTCGCACGCACGACGACCGGCGCGCGTGTGTTCGGCGTGCTGAAGGGCGCCGTGGACGGCGGGCTGGCGATTCCGCATCGCCCCAACCGCTTCCCCGGCTACAACAAGGAGAAGGACGCGCTCAACGCCAAGNCGAAGGATGCGGACGGCGCGTACGCGGCCGCGCGCACCAAGAAGGACGACCAGGGTGACGACGGGAGCCGCTTCCCCTTCAAGGCGATCCTTGACGTCGGCCTCGCACGCACGACGACCGGCGCGCGTGTGTTCGGCGTGCTGAAGGGCGCCGTGGACGGCGGGCTGGCGATTCCGCATCGCCCCAACCGCTTCCCCGGCTACAACAAGGAGAAGGACGCGCTCAACGCCAAGGTGCACCGTGACCGCATCTTCGGCCGCCACGTCGCGGACTACCTGAAGCAGGTGCGTGAGGAGGCGAGCTCGAACCCCGACGAGAAGACATGCCAGTTCGCCAAGTACATCGCGGCGAAGGTGGCGCCTGATGCGCTGGAGGGCATGTACAAGAAGGCCCACGCCGCCATCCGTGCGGAGCCCACGAAGCGGCGTGCGAAGAAGGAGCGCAAGCAGGGCGCGCCGGTGAAGAAGTACAACACGCCCAAGCTGACGGGCGCGGAGAAGAAGACCGCTGCCAAGGCGAAAATTGCGCAGCTGGTTGCTCGCATCCGCGACCGCGCGGCGAAGTAGGCNTTTTTTGTGGTATCATTTTCATTTTTATTTTATTTTTGTGTGCCTTTAAGTCGGATGTGTTCCGGGGTTTGCCGGCTTTTGCTTTGTTGCTGCTGTCGCTGTACTTTTTTGTTGTGTGTGTGTGGTCTTCCTTCGCAATAAATGTGTAGAAGGGTCCAGCGAAAATGGGAGCGTTTATGTACCTGAACGAGCTCTGGAAGAAGAAGTCTTCCGATGTGATGCGCTTCATCCAGCGCGTGCGGGCGTGGGAGTTCCGCCACCAGCATACGATCGTGCGTCTGCGTCGCCCCACACGCCCCGAGAAGGCCCGCATGGTTGGCTACAAGACGAAGCAGGGCTACGCTGTGTTCCGCGTGCGTGTGCGCCGCGGTGGTCGCAAGCGCCCGGTGCACAAGGGCATCACCTACGGCAAGCCCAAGACGAGCGGTGTGCTGGGGATGAAGCTTAACAAGAACAACCGCGCCATCGCGGAGCAGCGGCTTGGCAAGAAGTACGGCAACCTGCGTGTTCTCAACTCCTACTGGGTGAACGCCGACTCTACCTTCCTCTGGTACGAGGTGGTGGCGGTGGACCCGATGCACCGCACCATCCGCCGCGACCCGCGCATCAACTGGATCGTCAACGCCGTGCACAAGCACCGCGAGCAGCGTGGGCTCACGTCGGCGGGCCGCAAGCACCGCGGTCTGCGCCACAAGGGCCACAAGGCGTCGAAGCTGCGCCCGTCGTGCCGTGCTGCCTGGCGCCGCAACAATCGCATGGTGTTCCTGCGCAAGCGTTAGTTTTTCCAGCAGACCCATTCGAGTCCTTTTACGCTCTTCTACTTTTTTTTCTTTTTTGTCTTTAACTCAAAAATACGCTTGTTTTCTTGTGTAGAGAGGTGGTGCTGATTTGTTTCTGCCCGGCAATTGTTTCTTGGTTTCTGTGAGTCATGTACAGCAGTGGAAGTCTTTCTCTGTCTCCGCTTCCCTTTGTGTGTTGAACTGTGTAGATTAGGTTACGTTTGCTTGCAATAGAGAGTTGGAAGCCAAGGGAGCAATGCCTGTTGAAGCTGAAGTGTTGCCTCAGCCCTCGCGGCTTCCACCTGATGATGCTCTCGCTGTCATATGGGAACTCATCCGATATATTTTGATCTTTGTGATCATTGTTTTCGGTGTCATACCTGCACTTTGTGGGACGGTCTTTCCACCATTTTCTGCTCTATGGGATGTGTTGTCCGCAGTTTCACCATACACGTGGGGCTCCGTGGGAATAGGTATCGGCATTGCCTTTTCTATTATCGGTGCCGCGTGGGGGATCTTAACAACAGCGGCCTCCATCAGTGGAGCGGCCATTCGCGCCCCCGAAATTCGAAGCAAGAACCTGATCTCCATCATTTTTTGTGAAGCTGTGGCGATTTACGGTGTTATCTTGTCAATAATTATGATGGGAAAAATGGAAGCGAACGCCAACGCTATTGATGAGACGGGCAAATACGCCTACCGCGCTGCTGCTTCCGGCTTTACTCTTTTTGCAGCTGGAATTGCAGTTGGCATCGGTAACATGTCTTGCGGCATTGCGGTTGGAGTGGTTGGGAGCAGTTGCGCTATCGCTGATGCACATAGCAGCGCTCTGTTTGTGAAGGTCCTCGTCATCGAGATCTTCGCCTCTGCCCTTGGTATCTTCGCCGTTATTGTCGGGATATTGATGTCACAAAAGGCAGTGATGGTGTAGGAGAGCGGGAAGGCAGTGCTATTGTGAGGGGAGCTCAGCTTTCACAAGCTTGTACGTAGCTTTCCCTCTTTCGCTCTTTTTCTCTCGCTTTATATATACTTCTGTCTCTCTCTCTCTCTCTCTCTTTGTGTGTGTGTGTGTGTGTTCCACCATGCGCTTCTCTTTGTGTTGGAGGAATATGGTGGGTATCGACGGTGTTTTGAAGGACTCTTGTCTCTTCCCTGCTTTTGCCTTCCTGATTGTTTGCATATCTGATCCGTGCCACACAGAGACCGAAAGGGGTATGTTGATGCAGAATGGCGACATCGCAACTCATCGCGACACGCTACATGGACCTTATAAGCGAGGGGAGGGTTGGGGATGCATTGACCTACTTATCGGATGACGTGGTATACAATACGTGGATGGGTGTTGTGTACGGCAAGGAAAATGTAGAAGTATTTCTTCGTGATAACGTTCGCTTTGTACACCACGGACGTAACTACAATCGCTGGAAGCAAGTACAACACAGCCTAGATCCCACTCTTAGGCAGTACACTCTGTCTGAGGGCGGTGATTTGTCGGCACTGAGTTCTGTAGAGTTTGGTGGACAAGTGGTGCGGCGTTACTTCAACGCGGATGGCTACGACTCGCAGGGGTACGCCACATTTGAGAGGGATGGGACGGTGGCTTCACACGCGAAGTTTGCCGTCTTCCACGTGAGGGTGAAGGAGACCGTTGTTCTGCGAAACAATAAGGTTGTGCTGGTGAATGTGTCCAAACGAGTGTGAGGATTTCTCATGTGTGTTGGCCTTTTTATTTCTGTTGAGTTGTGCACGCGTTGTGCTGATGAGAGTTGAATGATCGCAAACTTTTCATTGTTCACCTTCTCTTTTTTTTCTTTCTTTCTTTCTTCTTATGGCCATTTTTTTCCTCATTGCTATTGTTATTGTTGTTGCTTTTCTTTTCTCTGTTTCTTTACTGCAGTTCTTGCTACCCACATCGTTTCGGAATTCAGCAGCATCCTTATGAGGACTAACAGGGTTGAGCGGAAGAAGGAGTTGGAGTGCGCCATCGCCCTCCGGCAAAAGGAGGTGACGGAATTGCGGCAGCGCAAGGCTGAACTTGAGGAAGAGTTGTGCATGTCCTCTGGAGCGCTAACCACCGGCAATCTTTCTGCGGCCTTTCCTGTTCTTGATTACTGCGGCACCCGACCCCGGAAGGACGTGCGGCAGCTCCCCATCGAGCATGTTGGAACAGTTCTGACCCAGTTCGATATCGCCGCCAAGGCAGTCACGCAACAGAACCAGGCTCTGAAGAAGCGGGTGAATGAGCTCAACCGCCACATAAAAACGGAGGGGCAGCGCTTCGCAAAGGTGAAACAGGAGACTAAGTTGCTCGTTGACGCCACTGGCGCACAAGTCACAGCCCCAGGAGAGGCAAACGGATACAAACCGGCGCTTCACCAACATGAAACGGAAGCCACCCCTCGTGAATTGGAGACGAGGAAGGCTATCATTGAAAAGGAGATTGGAGCAGGACGTTTACTAGTCAAAAAGAAGGAACAGGCACTTATTGACTTGTCGGAATTGCTTCAGAGCCGGCGGGAGCTTTACGATGAAGTGAATGCCTTGAACAACGACATCCGGGTTGTAGACCGTGATGTGAAGTGTGAAAAAGAGACATTACAGGAGCTGATTGCCGAACATGACAGTGTCGACGCGAAACTGAATGCTGCAGTGGAGGTAAACGCATCCACCTCGCGTCTATTAATTCAACAAGGCATTGCAGATATCAAGGATGAGATCGAGGAAACGGTAAAGGGGACACGTCGTGGGCAGGAGCGAGTGATCAAAGCACAGGACTACCGTATCGAACAGCTCGAGCGTCGCCTTGAATGCATTCAAAAAGCGCTACAGAACAACCATCTTATGCGTGAGGTGGATACGATTCTTTCCCAAAACTGGGCGTCAAGGGGTGAACTTATATCTGTCGGTGATGAAGCTGATATGTACGATTTAGAGACGATCATCCCGGCACAGGAAAAGTGCCATCCCGCCATCTACAACCTGTTCCTTACGGAGAAAGAGAGGCTGTCACGCCGTATGAGCCAACTGAAGATAATCATAAAAGAAAAGGATGAGGTTGTTGACGCCCTCGCCTGCAAGGCGGAGGCCCTATCGAGGGAGTGCCAGCGGGCCATTCAGGAACTTGATCAGGCTGCCTCAGGCGCCGCATACGAAGAAGAGAACCAACGGATTAAAGCTATGGAATACATTCAAGAGCAACGCCTCCACTACTCTGATTTGTTCTTTGAGAGGGAGAAGCTAAGATCGAAGGCACATGGGAATTCAAGAAAGGCAGCACATTAGTGTAGACAAAAGATCGGAAGGAAAGGGAAAAGGCGGGGGCCTTTTTTTTTTTTTTTACGAATGGGGCCTGGACATTTTTTTTCGTTTTTCGTTCTCTCAAGACGACCGTTGTATTCGATAGGTGTCACATGAGACGGGAGGTATATGTATGTATCTGTGCGTGTGCTGAGCACCTTGGCGGCCACAGTCTTGCGAAGGTAAAGGTCTGCGCGTGTTTATTTGAGGTGCGGAGGGGACTGTGTTTTTTTTTCTTTCTTGGGCCTTCTTGCTTCCTTTGGTTCTATTTTTTCCTGACTCTCTATTCGTAGTACTAGAGGGGGTGAGCATAAAATCAAACAAAAGGAAAATCACAAACAAAAGACACAAACGAAAAAGAAAAAAAAAAGTAGAACGAGAGATAAAGATCAAGAGAGCGGGAGAACAAGAACAAGAGTGATGTCGAACGACCTTACGCCAGTAAGCAATGACAGCAGGGGCATTCATCATGGTATCGAGGAGGCGGTCCATATGATGTGGGACAACCGGTACGTGGAGGCGGAGGAGCAACTTGCTCCCTACAAAGAGGTGCATCCACGCTACGCACTGGAGTTTGCCAACAAATATCTTGTGGAGACACTGATGAACTCCACCAATGAGAGCAGGGAGAAACTCATGGAATTATTCAAAGTGGCCGATTCACGTGCCTCAGCTGCCAAATATGGCGAACCTATGTTTTGCCTGGGTGATGAAAATGACGATGAGGAAGAGTCCAATGCGATCCTGAAAGGGCCTGGTCGGTCTGATCGTAAGAAAGAAAAGAAGGCTTTCAACGGCCGTCGCCGAGCCGCTCAAAAGGCTGGGGAATTTTTTGACGACACGTGGAAGCTAGAGTGTGATGTCATCTACGCGGATGCTTTGCTGATGCGCTCCGTAGGCCAGCTCATGATGAACTCCTATTTGAAGGGTGGTATCAACCTCCGCAGGACGTGGGGCATATACCATAAACTAATACAAACTGTGGAGGCCGACAAGGATAATCGGATCCCCAAAGAACTGAAGATGTGCATAAAATACGGCACAGGAACATTCTATGCATTTCTTGCCCTTGTACCTGCCAACTTGATGAAGCTNCTTAACGTTATTGGCTTCATATCGGACAAGGAGCTTGGTGAGGAATACCTTACCGAGGTTTTTGAGAGCAATGGGATTCGCTCTCCTTTTGCAGCCCTCGTATTGTGCACACTTTATCTTTTTCTTCCTACAGGCATTGGGCGTGTGGAGGAAACACTTCAAAAGGCGAAGCACGTTCTGGACACAATGAACAAACGGTACGAGCATAACACGTATTTCTATGGTTATTCCAATTTTTACCACCGAAAAAAGGGCGAAACAGTTGAAGCTTTGCAGGCCATTGAAAGAGCCGCTGCAAATGCTGAGAGGGCTGGACTTGTGCCTCTACTTATCCGCTATCTACATGCCGATACGCTCTTTATGGACCTCCGCTTTGCTGAGGCAAAAGAAAAATATGCGGCACTTCTAAGCCACCTCTCTGCGACGAAGGAGACCTTCGCATACACGGGTCAGGTGGTGCTGTCACTCGCAGCCTGTTATGTGATGCTTGGTGATGATGCAAAGGCGATGGAGTGGTTACGAAAAGTAGGCTCAATGTATAACTCCAGATCCAAGAATGATGCCAACTCTCCAAAGTTTGCGGCGCGTGTCATCGCAAACCAACGGCTATTACCACTTTGTGGTGTGTATATGCTGTATATCAATCGTGACCTTGCGCATATGAAGGTTGAACAGGCAGAGCGCGTTCTGAACGAATTGCACCGGGTAACTGAGGGACGCGATTTGAGTGGACCTGAAGCTGAAAACATGTATACTCTGTTTGTGGGGGTCATACAGAAGGGCTGCGATCGCACCGAGGAGGCGCTTAAGTGCATGGAGAAGATATTTGCTAATGAGAAGCGTATACCAAGCGATTCTATGATTTTGCCATACACCTATTATGAAACCGGTGAGCTCGAATACCGACGTGGCAAACTAGAAAGAGCAAAGGAACTCTTCACAAAGGGTCAGTCTATTAAAGGAGACGGAAATGAAACACTGGCCAACCGATACAACATTGCGTTGAAACAACTAAAACGCGCAATGGAGGGAAAAAAGTAAAATTACCTGTGTACGTGTCTGTCTATGTGATTCTCGGTGTGTCTGTCTGTGTGTGTGTGTGTGTGTGTGTGTATTCATTTGATATTCTTCAGTAGATAAAAGGGAAACATGATCTGCCATTAGAGGGATGATAATGATTCTGAAGCTAAAAGGATGTAGGAAACAACTGTGTGCTCACAGGCTTTTTGCCGCGTTACTATATTCCTTGGTGGCGTGCTTCTCGTGGCTGGTGGGAGAGCCCGGTGGATGATTCTCGTGGTGTTGAAGAGGATGGAATTGGTGGCTATTGTGTTTGTTGCTGTTATTGTAGTGGTGGTAGTGGCTGGGTGGTGATAATGTTGGGGGAATTCATTTGCACCATTAAACACTCTAAATGCTGAAAACATGTTTCCCTTTTCCCAAATTTCTTTTTTAACTTTTTTCTAAACTCAGTTTTTTTTTTTTGGAACTTTGCTTGCTTGTTCCTTCTTCCTATCAAGGATGGATCGGAGCGAAGCCGCCCCAGCTTCCGCGACTGGGACTGACCAAGAGGAGAAGGAAGCTGCACAGGAACAGACTCAAGAGATAGATCTAGAAGCAGAACCTCAAGAAGAAAGCTACGATCCCAACCAGTACCAAAACTACTATTACGAACCTGCTGATGGGAACTATTACTACTATCCCGCAAATGAAGCGACGACGAATGAGGAATTGCAGGACGCCGCTGAAGTGCCACTCACACCAGAGAACCTTATTCGCTCGTATGAATTCGAAGACTGGGAGCCACAATCGTACAACTGGTTAGCGGACATTGTTTTAGAAGTTTTTTTCTCACTAGGATTTCGTCTGTATTTTACTTTTATGCTTTACTGCACCGCAGCCATGTTATTTGCCCTTTCACTGAATTGGACTTTCCAGGTGCTTTTCCGAATGTACGTCCCACCCTCTATAGATGAGTACAAGCATTTGATGACGTTGAGTTTTTTGGTCACCTTTTTCTTGCTGAGCTTCACATTGGTGACGGTATTCTGCACCTTGGGGGACATGTTGAAGGGTCTGTGGAATGCGAAGCGAGAAGACACCGTTTTTTGGGGTATGTCACATTCTTCGAGGAAAAAACCTCCCTATATGATATACTTTGTGATCATAACTGCTACGACAATATTTCCGTTTTTATGGGGAATCATTGATGCTTCTGTGAACAAACAATCGCTTGTGTTTTTTGCTCAGACGTACGCTTTCATTGTCATTATTGTCACTGCGTTTATGGTTGCAATTTGCTATGTGTGGTTTTATTGGTTGGCTCTGAGACAGAAACGAATTGCCTTTAAGCACCGCATGAAACGTGATGAGTTTATCTTGTGGGAGAAGGCATTGAGTTATCGTTCCTCTCGGTCAACGAAGAAGCATTGGTACCATGCCTCCACAGTGCTCGAGGAGTACGGACTGGACGGGAAGACGTTGCGTTGGAATGCTGTCGTTTTTACAGTTGGGTGTGTTCCGTTGTTTGGACTTTATTCAGCACAGACACTCACCACCTACATTGGTGATCCCCCTGTTACGTGGGGTGCTATCAGCAGCATTGCACTTACTTCCGTCTTTGTTGTTTCCTGGACAGCACAATTTCGCACCAAAGCACACTGGTCTGTTTACGTTTCTATGTTTTTTATTGCACTGTTTTTGCTCCTTGGTATGATTGGTGGTGCTGTTTCGGCCTCCAAAGAGGCTGTTATTATGAACATCGCTTTGTTCATCATCTCACATGGCATGCTCACACGAAAAAGGCGACATGCTTTGACTAGAAGAGAACAATGTGCACTTTTTCAAATTGCACTAGACCCAGAAATACAACATGACCTACAAAGGCGTAAAGTTGATACGTACTTGCTCTGCTGTCGAAATGCTATTTTGAGTGGGTTGAAGTGTTTTGATGTCAAGACATTTTTTGGGTACCGTCACCCCGAAATTGTACGTGCTGAACGAAAGTACGCAATAGATAATGTTACTATTATGACAGATCAAGCATCCCTAATGTACTGGTGGTTGATTGTTATGTTTGCAGTGGCGTTTGTCATTGCTCTTGGTAATGCAATGGTGTACAATTTCACGGGTGGGATAGCTTCCAGATGTGCTCCCATGGCGCCTCAAAACTCAATGTTACCAATTTGTGAGGTGAGATACAATACAAACGGTTCTGCCCCGCTCAAAATGTACGATTTGGCTCTTTTGAGTGCACTGTCGTACACAGTAGCAGAAGAAGGAGATAAGGACTTTGTTACTTGGTTTTCTCATCTTCCTAGTTTTTTCCGACGATATCCCATCCACCTGCCCCCCAGTTTGAATTATGCGACGGATGGAGTGGCCATTTCATTTTCAGATTATGTTGATTCGGTGAGTGATTACCATTTTGTGACACTGAACACCAACAATAGAGGTCTCTCACTGATGCGAAACATGGATGAGTGGGGTACATCCATTGCTGTGCAATTGGCTGGGGCAATATCTCCCCTCATCAATGTGTGGCCTGAGAGGTATCGAGAATCATTTATCTACGGTGCCGATTTTTTGCGGAGGTGGTTTCCACACCCTAATGTGCTCAAAGATGTTTCTGTTTATATCGACGGATTGATTACTGCGGGAAAGAAGGATCGTATTTTGCTGATTGGTGACGGGTTCAATGGTGGATATGTGAAGATCCTCTCTTCTACCTATGGCTTACCGTTTGTGGCGTTCAATCCTCCAGGAACAAAATACAAAATTCCCTTTCAATTGAAAGGTGTGCAGGTTTCTTTTGCCCGTGGTCTTCTTTCTTACATCGACTCTCTCGAAGACACCTTGGAGACCTTATATCTGCAATGTGACGCTCGTTATTCGTCTAACCGTTGTAGCAGGATTGAGACGACAATCGAAACTATCAACGCATCGTGTGGTGATCCATACGGTCGAGGTTTTATGTAGAATGCGCATGACTTTGAATGGAACTTAAAGAGCGAGTGTAGTTGGAGCGCGCATCTTGTATTTGCTTTTTTTTTTCTTGTACCAGCATCTGGCGTTACCGACAAAACAAGAGAAACCGGGACAAAAAGAATAGAGGAACAAAACAGTGATCCCAACCTTGTTGCATTTTCGGGCCCACCCACCCACACACACACACACACACGTCGTCTCACAGACACATACATGCCTACGATCTCTCTACTTCCCAGTTCCTACCTCTTCTATTCGTGTTTTTATTCTTTACAAGACTCATTTGTGAAGGGGCTAGATAAAGTGACATGCTTCGTCCAACCCTGTCCCTTGCGGTGCGGCGCACACCTGCAGTTTTTTTGGCCGCTGCGGCCGCCTCTGCAGCGCCGGCAGCAGGAAGGGTAGACCCAAAGAAGTCATCCAAGGCTCCACAAGAGTCCAAGGTTAATGGTGCCACGGGGCCTGATGGAGATTCTGTTTTGGACAAGGCGGTGGTGGCCGGCTGTCTGAGTGCCGTTGCTGCCTGGTTCGTCTTTGGGCCTCCAATTCAGTCGCACCATTGAGTCTGTTATAGGAAACCAGATGGGAGAGGGTATTAGGTGTAGTAGTGTTGTCGTAGGAAGGAAGCTATTCAAACAGAAGTCAAGAAGGAAGACAAGCTTACCCGAAAGGCAAGTTTTGTTAATTTTTGTGCCGTGTTTTTCCTTTTTGGCAGGTTTTATGGTTTGACTCTGTATGCATGCGTTTTCTTATTGTGCCTCGTGTTGGTATTCCTTTCCTTGAAAGATTTTTTTCCTCTGTTCCTCCCCCCGCCCCTTAAAAAAATATATATATATATTTGTTTTTGTTTTGTGTGTGTGTGTGTGTGTCATTGGAGCGTAACACAAAGCGTGACGATAGGTAGGTGGAAAAACGATTTTTTTTTTGGGGAGTGCTCCAAGCGACTTTGATGACTTACAATAGAAGAACGCCTTTGCATGTCGAGACTGGTAAGCAGGGTGTACGGTCGCTATCGTTTGAGGCATCTTCGCCTTATGCCCGGACCTCATCCCACCGTGAATGGAGGAACTCGCCATTAGCTCCACAGCCGTTTCAATACCGTAGTGATGCTCAGTGTTCGCCGTCACTTCAGCAGTACATGCCACCGCCACCAATTGTTGGCCGTTCTACAAGGGCAAGTGCATGTGACTATGACACTGCAGCCGCACAAGGGTGCAGCCCCGGGCTGAACCTCAACAATGCCATACCCAGCTCACCGTCCCCCCTCGCAGAGGCACGCTATGCCGGCTTGGGCGAGACCTGCAGACCTTCATCCGCCATTGAATCTCGTCCTGCAAGAGGGTTTACCTCACCCACAGCGCACACACCGATACAGCGCGCAGCCTCAACAGTGATGGCACCACCACGGCAGAGGGTGACATATTACGATGGCTGTGGTGCCATTGTTGAGGAGAGGGACCCAGTGAAGAGGGATGTAGTTACCCGCTATCGTTGTGGGGCACTCCTTGGTACGGGTGGATTTGCGCAAGTGTTTGATTTTAAGGATATGGCCACTGGAATCCGGTACGCGGGAAAAGTGATTGATAAAAAAACGTTATCACGCCGAGGGTCTGAGGCAAAGTTCCGCATGGAAGTAGACATTCACAGCCGAGTCAGACATCCTAACATCATTCAATTTGTTAAGGCCTTTCAAGATGATTACTACCATTACATTATACTTGAGCAATGCTCCAGAAAAAGCTTAATGGAATTGTCGAAAGAGCACGGCGTTTTTACCTGCGAGGAGATGCAGTATATAATGTTTCAAATTGTGTCGGCCGTAGAGTATATGCACAGCAACTTGATTATTCACAGGGACCTAAAGCTTGGAAACGTAATGATTGATTCCTCTGGGAATATGAAAGTTGGAGACTTTGGATTCGCCAGTGAGCTTATTTCTCCATCCGATAGAAAAACAACAACATGTGGAACTCCAAACTACATTGCACCCGAAGTGCTTGCCGCCGAGAAAACGGGGTTGGGCTACGGATTAGAGGCAGACATATGGAGTTTAGGTGTTATTCTGTATGCATTGGCGTTTGGTACCCCACCTTTTGAAACTAAGGATATCGCCACCACGTACAGTAAGATTCGACGGGTGGATTATTCGTTCCCATCAAACACAGTTGTACCGGAGTCGTGCAAGGATTTGATTCGTTGGATGCTACAAAAGGATCCTCAACGGCGACCTTCCCCATCGAAGGTTTTACGTCACGGTTTTCTTTGCTTGTCACAACTACCTCGCACAGCTCCAAAGGCACTTGTCCCACCTGAAACACCTTCGTCAACCACATCCCCCAAGGAACGTCACAGTCCACTCTGGGCTTCACCGATTGCAATTCAATCTCCATTTGCGTACTGTGAGAAGACACCCACTGACTATCAAAAAGGACTCCCACGGAAACAAGAATACGTCAAAGAAACGGACCACGAGTTGCGAATGACACTCCATGAGTTCCTGAAAGAAAATGATTGTGCTAGCGAAACAGCATCTGACGTACTGCACTCAGACTCGAATGGTAGGTTTACGCAGCCAAGACCCCCTCGACCATCAGTCATTCTTCAAAGCAGCATATATTGCAATAAATACGGCTACGGGTTTCTTTCTTTCCAGGATGGAAAACAGTATCCAACCGTGTTTTTGAACGATAAAACAAAGCTGGTCTATGATGTGTCGTCAGACACAGTTTTTTATTACGGACGCTCTCGTATGCAGGCCACTCCTCCAGATTCTGGAATCCGAAGTCCACTTCTTAGTGAGGAACTTGCTGCGAAGGGTTTTCGAGATGAGTTAGCTGTGTTTCGCAACGCTTCAACTAGCTTGGTACATCGAAATGAGGGGAATGATCCAGGGAGTCGTATTGAGGCTGCAGCGGCCAAAAAAATGGCCATAACAAAGTTCTTTCTTCCGTTTCTCCGGCGAGGAACAAAGGACAAACGAATGGTGGCTATGACTTGTGCTGTAAAGGAGTGGCATTCTGTATGGGAAAGAGATCTGTTTGCACCCTGTAGAACAACTGAAACGCGAGATGATATTGTGTACGTAAAGGATGCAGTAATGGACTCATTGTACGAATTGACAGGTGAACATCAGGATGCGGATATACAGCTTCTTGTCGCACGAATGTCTGATTATTCTTTTCAGGTTTCCGTGCGTTGTAATGGGTCACCACAACCGTTGTTTTGTCCTAGATATAGTGGTCTTGAGGCTTCTGAGACTAATTTCCCCTGGGGACTCGATATTCTCATTTACTCGGGATTCCGCGCAGTCATGGTATTGGAGACGAAGCAGTCTCTATTCGCCCTCTCATTTTGGGATATCAGGCGTGATGCCAAGACAGTCAGGGATGGGCGGGTATACTTTGCTGCAGGAACCACCACACAAACAAGGTCAGTTACAATGCCTTCTGCCCTGCTACGCGTTGTAGCCACTCTGCTTCGAAAGGTCCGTTGCTGCACAGATGTTGTGGACTGCTTCTGTTGAGTCTAAGGGAGAAGTTGAGGAAGAGAAAGATTCAGCGAGATGGAACCCGCCTCACAGAGGTGGAGAAGTAGTGGGAAACGTATAGATTATGACGTAAGACACACTCCCTAAACTGGTTTCCATAGAAGAAACGTAAGCCATGTGGGTGAAAAAAAGGCGAAGAAAGAAGAAACGGATTGCACACTAATTTAATCGGTGTTTATTCGATGTCTTTTGTTCACAGAGCACTCCCTCCCCCCACACAAAGCAACAAAAAAAAAGAATAACTAATCTGAACCAAAGGAAATGAATAAAAAAACCTTTTGAAAAGGATGTGATTTGTATTCTGCAATACTTTCCGGGGCTTTTCTCTTTTTCTCTCTCTCTCTCTCTCTTTCTCTTTTTTTAAATTTTTTTTTTATGCAAGCAAACGAACAAGTAAGAGGATCTGGTGGAAACGGCAATAGACAGCGATGCCCTTCGCAGTATCCACAAGTAAGAGCCCAACAGCTGTTTTGGGTGCCGTTACCGGCCACTTTTTAGGAAATATAGAAGGACCTTTAGTTCTTCTGAATCGACTGAATATGGTTTCTTTATTCAAGGAAAAGGGCCAGTCGTTTGAGCACATTGGGGACTTTTCCCTGTTTGCCTCGTTAAAGTTTCTGGAGGCGTTGCCGTTTTTCAGCTCCAAAGGCGCTTATAGGCATGTGGCTTTTTTTCTTTCTGTGAAGCAGGAAGTATCTCTCGTGGCATTCAGAAGCGAGTATAATGGTGATGGCGAAAGACGGGTCGAAATGGTTACCTTATTCTACGGCGACGTTGACACGTATTTTCATCAACAGAGACCAAGTGAAGTTTCGCTCTGCTGCTCGGGGGTATATCGCACACCAATGGATGAAACACTTCCGATAGTTACTTTCTCCATTCACAGGGGGGGCGTGTTCGTGTTTGATGCAGCGGCGGCTATTGCATCCTACAACCAGGGCTCGGAAAGTTTTTCACAGTCCCTTGATGCTTTATTCTCGAGCAATTACACACACTGCGTATTGAAAAGGCAAAAACAAAGGGCCCTCTTTACCTATGTTCATTTCACTGCAGCTGAGATTGATGTGCGCCGAATTGCTTTAGGACATGCAGACACTGAGAAGGGGCTAGTTTATTTGTATGTTCTTTACGCCGATTCCTCCACAAGAACGCACTTGTCCGAATATACCATTGATTTCGGGAATAATGAGGAACAACGAAGAGGTGTAAAGTCGTCTAGTCGTCCGTGGATCCCAGATGCCGTTGAAGGCCTTCCTGGGGGAAGCAGTTTTCGGCGAAAGATGGTGCTTCTAGCCAATGTTGAAACCAACGCATGTGTACTGCATGTTGTATCTGATGGGTTGTTCGTTGCTGGCCCTCAGTTGCTAACATTTATTTCTCGTAAAGTGACGGCAACTCAATCGGCTTCATGGAAGAATGTTACAACCGTGGCGTTCCCTCCATTTCCTGTGTACATTGAACCTGTGTGCTGTGCTTCTCTACCGAATCGTGAGCTTCTCATTGCTTTTTGGGATGGAACGTATGTCAAGGCAATGATAATGGGGGAAATTGAGAGCCTCAATCAGTACAAAATAGTATTCACATGTTGTGTACTCTCGTCCTTGCGCACTATACCAAGCTCCATTGCGGTTGTGGATAACTTTTGTGTTTTGGGGTCTCGCATGGCTGATACACTCTGGATGAACTGGATTTCTGGTGAGAGTGGTGTTTTGGTGAAAAATTGTGGTCCTGTACTAAACATTACAGTGGAAACAGATGGCCCTCGCATGAGTGTCATTGCAAGTACAGGCGTAGGATCAAACGGAGGATTGAGTCTTGTGCGTTCGTCAGTTAAGGTTCAACAAGATACTTCCATTGATAATCTTTCGAATATGAAACGTATATGTGTAGCCGGGGAGGTGATTATTTTTACTTTTCCTGGTTATAGTCGTGTCTGTCGTGCAACGACGAAAGAAGAGTCTACGATGGTTCTAGAGGAACTTTCAGGTACCTCATTTGACACGTCACGGGAAACCTTGGCTCTTGTGTTCAGCGAAGGGCTAAATGCTTTTCTACAAGTGACTGCAGTTGGACTAAATGCTGTCCAGAGTAATGATTGGAAATGTATCATGTGGCACGAAGCTCAGGAAATTTCTCATGCACACGCAAATTCAGGACTACTTGTTTTTTCAAGCTCAGCTAGCGTATTTGTTTTACATGTCGACACTCTTGTTGTCGGGAAAATACTTCAGCTGGAAAATGAAGTATCCTCACTGGTAGTGTTGTCATCAGATAGTTTCTTGATTGGGGAATGGAGTTCTGCAGCAGTTTGCTTGTATCAGGTGCTTGACTGTGTACCACACCTTAGGAGCAGATTTGTTTGCTCAGCAACTCCATGTTCAATGTGTGTTGTACCATACAAGGGCGAGACGCGACTTCTCGTTGGCTTGCTGAATGGCTATGTTGTGGATCTTGCTGTAAAAGACATGACCATACAGGGTTTTTTTCGTGAAACACTGATAATGATGCAACCGCTACGGCTGTTCAATTTGGAAAGGCATAACGCTGTTCTGTGCCTTGGTGAAGTGCCTCTTGTTATTATTGTCTCCGATACAGGGTTTCAGCTTTCAGGAATTGACTTCAATGATGTCACGGCGTGCGCCATTGTAGGAAATCCTAGCACTTCTTCAAGGTATCTTTTTTTTTCTCGAAGCGAGCGGGCCCTCATCTTTGGAGACATAATAGAACTGCAAAAACTGAATATGAGTTTCCTCGCCTTTAATGCGACGGTTACTCTTGTTAGATACATCTTGTGGTGGGATGTCTTTGTGTTGTCGGTTCGTCACAATGAAAAGGATCAGCTGCTCTTGATGATGAGTCGTGAGGCTACAAATTCATGGGGGACAAGAGGTGGTGAGCAGGTTTCTCTCGAACTTCTCGAAAATGAAAGATGTGTTTTTCTTGAGCCTATTGTCCTTGGAGGATCCAATGAATTGGGTGCTGGAGATGAACCTCAAAAGGACAGGGCGATACTCATAGGTACCACTTTTGCATTTCCAGACGACCAGTTGTCTCTCTCGAGTCGTTTCATGTGGTGCTCTATTGAACAGGGCAAGTTAATAACTGAGAAGCCTCAACTGCGACAACTTGGTAGCAAGGATATTGATGGAGCTCTCCAATGCTGCTGTATTGTACCGAATTACACTGGTCGAATTGCACTTGGCATCAATGGCTGTATAGCGCTTTATACTTGGAATTCTGTAGATTCTACCTTTGTTGCTGAGGAAACAATTTGCGCTGGCGTAATTGTGACACGCTTAGTCCCCGTGGCTCAGCAAGGCTTATCCTGTATTGTGGCGCTTGATGCGCGTCATAGCTGTTTTTTTGTCCAGGTGGACACTATTGAGGGGAGTCTTAGCATTATTGCCCGGGACTCAGAGCCACGTGGTGCCATGGACGGTGCCATTCTGCAATCTGGCGCCAGCTACAATATGTGCTTTGGAGACGATTTGTTCAATCTTTTTTGCGTATCGCATGACACTCTTGGGTCTCAGAAACCTTCAGGTACTTCATCCAACACGGCACCAAACCGAAAGCTTTTAACGAAGGCACAGTATCACCTGGGTGACTTGATCACAGCAGTACATCAAGGAAGCTTTGCTCCTTGCTCTGTTGTGAATGACGTTGTTCCGATCCCAAATACGCTTGTTCCAGGTGTTTGTGGGCCACAGATTGTTTTTGGAACGTCTCATGGAGCTTTTGGAACAATCACTCCTGTGACAAACGAAACATACCTTCTCTTGAAGGCCTTGGAAGTCGCTATAACGGAGGTGGTTCCGAGTTTGGGGGGATTTAGCCATGCAAATTTTCGAGAGGTTCTTTGTGCTGGACAAGAGAGAGGATTTAGTCGAAATGCATCATTTGAAACAACAAATCCAAGAGCGGCTGATGTACTCTCTCGTCGACGCAGACAATACATCTCTAAGTGTGTGTGCAGCGGAGACCTGGTCGAAACATTCCTGACTCTTTCGGAGGAAACTAAGCAGCAAGTAGTGTCTGAAACCGAAATACGAGTGGTGCGATGGTGTGCGTCCATGAACTCAACACTGGAGGAATTCCTCGAGCATGCGGATTTGGACCACCCACCTTCTATGAGGGGCCCTCTGACCTCGGATGAATATGCGGCTGTATTCCACATACATAACACATTTCATGAGACCGGCTTGCCCACGTTTCCATTTAGAAAAGAAGCAATTAATGCGTTTATACAGAATCTCCAGAGGACACATTAAAATAAACAAAAAGTACCTTTTTGTGTAAGTGCTCGTTTTTTTTGCCACCAATTATTTTTCCACAGTATAAACTACTGGTGCTGCTTATTATTTTTTTTT